GCAAATTTTTATGCTTCTTCCTCAAATATAACTCATTTTTTAAATTGATTTTTTTGTGTATTTCATACAGAATACCCCAATCATATTCATCTATATACCCACAATCCAAATGGCACCCTCCCATAGCTGCCCCCACCCACTGAAGTCCATACACTCTGTCATCCCTGTTACTGTCCATGGTGCTGTCAGTACCCCCAGCCCCCCAGTGCTTGTCCATCCACTGAGTCTAGTCAGCCTATCTAGAGTTCCTTGTCTTAGGAATATCAGCTCTTCCTCATCTAGCAGTAATCTCTTGCCAATATCCCTTCAGATAAGATTGGGGTCTGCTGTTCATTTTCCCAGTTCTATGCTGGATTATTCTTTGGGAGTCTCTTGGGCCACCCTGGCCAACAACTCAAAGGAAGGTATCTCCTGTCTGGCATTATTTCTTCTTATGTAGCCTTTAGCTACACACATGGACTCTTAAAAAATTATATTGACCCCTTTAATCTTTGGTTATACGTTCCTTTTGGGTGTTTAAGACCATACATTTGGCTCAGATAAACCAATTTATTTTTACTCTTAAGTTCATTTGAGTATCTGTTCCTCAGGGGTCACATGGGATTTAGAGGAGCCCCTGGCTCCTTTCTTTTACCAGTGCCATCTATGTAAAGATAAGTCAAAGGTCCTGCTCAACTGTGGCTGGCTTCACTTGGAAGCATGGAGGAAATGTTTCCTCTGTGTTGACCCTCCTCTGTGTAAAATGGACTCTGATTCAAGTCTATCTGGTGGGGTTTCTATGACCTCTTCAAGAAGACAGGTGACGCACCACAGTTACAGGACATTTTGAGAGATGCTCCATAGTTCCCTGGAACATAGTAGACCTTGGAGGGCAAGGAACAAAAACTGTCCTTTAAGTCCCTCTGACCAAATTAGTATAAGCCTCAAAGTATGGCTTTTAAACACACAAGAAAGTTCCATCAGTCTGGTACTTTCAATTACCATGTGCTATGTAGCTAAAGCTTGGGCAAAGACCAAAGGTTCTCAGATAAACCTTGATTAGACATATATTCCTTGAGCTAGTTGTATATATAATTTGTCAGTAGGTTGTTGGACTAATATGGTTCCCTCTGTTTTTTTTTTTTTTTTAAACTGGCTAGGCATTATTTATCTCTTGCATTGTCTAACCCTTCCAGCATGGTTTCACCATTTAAACTGCCCCCATTTTTCCCCTTTCTCCCTTAATAATACCCTTCTCCTATGGTCCCACCCCTCTTGAGCTCCTTCTTTCTCTTTATCCTGAAGTTTCTTTGTATAACCCTCCCTCCCCACACCCCTTAAAATAACCCCATTTTTATCCATATCTCCCTTATTAAGAACTGTTTCCTACTGTTATTCTCTTTCAGATCCTTTCTTTTCCTTTACCTCCCTGTTTCATTTCCATTTTCCTGGTTCCTATAATTATGTCTGGT